CTACTTTGGGTAACTCAAATGAGAGGAACCATATAGTATGAAACTATATGTTTGATTTATTTCATTTAACATTATTCATTTTCCTACAAATATCTTAAATTTATCCTTCTTTATAGCTGACTAGTATTCCATTATGTATGAATACCAATCTTAACAAGCCTATTCCAGTAATGAAATTTGGCAGCTATAAAAATATTTGATCCAGTATTCTACTTAATGTGGCAAGATCAGAATAGAAATATTGAGGAAAAGTGAAAATTGCTCTTATTTTATGATTCTTACTTTGAGACAGGTAGTCACTAACCATTGAAGCAAATCTGAGTAGATATCAATATTATCACTTTACAGATAAGAAAACAATAAAAAGTCAAATGACTTAAGAGGTCATATAGATCATAATTGGAAGAACTGTAATTTACACACAGGTCTTCAGACCTCAGTGTCCATGTGTTCAACTGCTAAATCATACAGGCCTCTGTCTCTGTTGTTATCCTTTCTTTGCTGTAGTTTGAGTTTGCCACTTTTAATTTAAGGGATTTATAAAAGGAGAGTGGCTACCTGGTAAAGAGAATTATCTACTCATAAAACAGATTCTTCAGTTTTTTAAAACAAGTTAGTCAAATGTAGGAAATCATCATGATTTAGAAGAGTAAAAAGTACTAAGTACCTTGGTACTTAGTAGGTGTAAAATATTGAGTTTCATTGAATAGTTCAGATAAGAATGGAGAACCCACATGAGTCACCTTCGCCAAGTCTGTCCTGCTCTCTGGGGACATTTCCTCCTTCGAAGTCCTCTGCGCTTCCTGTCTAAATGGTGACATTGAGAACCAAACCTTTTGTTCCTCTTAGAAGCCACAGGCAGGTACTGTAAAGCTCATGAAGAATGTTGGATGTCTTCTTGAGCAGATTTGCTAGCTATATTATTTCAATTAATATCTAATCCATTTTTATTGCCTATTATTTTCAAAGTGCAATACTGGATAGTTCATGAGATTTTTTTATCTTTGAATAATTTATAATTTATTCTTCCCAGGAATAGAAAATTCCCGGCACTAGTTCAGAGAATAATTGGAATAAGGTTCTACTAAATCAGTGAACAGTATGAAAAAATTAATATGAGAAAGAAAACAGTAATTTTAAACCCTCATTGAAGAGTATCTTTTAATAAACTCCTGTTGAAGTGGATTAAAATAAAAATATAGATACAATTAAATAAGTCATACTATATAATAGCCCTCACTCTATATTTTAAAGAAGGAAAGCTCCGTATAAAATATTAGCACATATATGTTTATATCCAGGCAGAAAAAAATTTTACTTTGGACTCTATTTTTACACTTAACTTATTTTTAGTAGTCTAATTTTTCAACTTGAATCTGCACAACATGTGGTCAATTTTTCAAGCCTGAAAGATATGTTCTATGTAATAATCCAGTTTTTTCCTGTGGCATAAGCCCTGCCAAAGAAGCAATGATATAGAAAATTTGTTGATCAAAGAAGTAGTACAATGCTATTTAGTGTGGTTTATGAAGAATAGTGGACTGATGTAAGTTGGATAGCTCAAACTGTCCACATAACTAGGAAATAAATATTTTTAAAGCCATTTTGCTCATTAGTGGTGACACTTTAAATTATTGCATTAATAATGTTAACCTTCTACTTATAAATATATTGTGTTAATCTCTTTCTATCGGTTGTTCTAGGTAAACAATATGTCAGTAGGGCAGTAGTTTAGTTTCAATTGAAATCTTTCTAACATCTGTACAATTAGCAAAAAAAAATCCTATTATCAGGATGTGAGCTATAAGGCATTACAGCAAAGAGACATATGGATAAAAATAATTATTCACCTCAGAAATATTTTTATTCCTATAGGATCAAGTTCAAATGTCTGAGTTGAGGATTCAAGTCCCTCTAAATCCTGTCCCCTACTGATACTCTCAAATCTTAACTCCCAATGCAGAGTATTCACTCTCAAGCTCATCTCTGTGGCCCTCGGGTATCTTTTTACCTCTACATTCTCATTCTTCCATTGCCTTCTTTCCCTACCCCTTTTTTTCCCCATTTTTGTGAATCTTACTTCTCTGCATTAATCAGCTTTCCTGTTGCTAGGACAAAATATCCAACACCCACAACTTAAAGGAGGAAGTGGTTTATTTGGCTCATGGTTCCAGGGGGTTCAGTTCATAGTTGTCTGGCTCCAATGCAGGAACATCATAGCGGAGGAGCTTGTTAACAGAATGGTCTTACCTCATGGAGGTCAGGAAGCAGAACAAGGGAATAGTGCCAGATAGAAAGGGTCAAGAGACCAGCTATAATCCCCAAGGTCTACCTCCATGACCCACCCAGACACTTCCAGAAGTGAGCTTTACTAATCCCCTCGGTGGCTCACAAGCCAATCAACTTGACAGTCCAGCTTCACTGTCACACTTGCTTAAGAGCAAACTGAAGGGAACATTCTCTATGAAGTTATATTCAAACATTCCAACTCCAAAATACAAATTTGCACATTGTATTTGTAGCAAATACAACCAACATAAAAAAGTTTCCGGCTTTTTTACCCGTTTTAGGTTTCTTGCCTTCGGAAGTGTTAAGAATTGCTTGAAGTTAATCTACAAAGTTGAATTATGCTTAGTGTGGATTCTCCAGAAGCAGCCGCTTGAAAGTGAAAATAAATGTTCAGTAGATGCTCTCGGACCAGCTGTTGAGGACGCGTCCTCCAGCTGTTGATTGGTACTGACCCCAGGAACTTGATCTCTGGGGAGTGGTGCAAAACTAGCACAGAATTGTTAGACACAGTGGGTGAGGCAGCCCAGCGGAGGCTTTTGTTCCTGCCAGTCAGTAACTGAGATCTGCCCCCAGGAGATGCCCAGTCCCTGGACTTCTGTGTGAACAGAGGAGGCTGCAGCAGCTGAGGAAATCTGCAAAGAGGGAATTCGGGTCTAGCTATCAGCAGCTGTCCCCAAGTGCACCACAGTGAGAGAGGGTGGGAGGTGCTGGTGGGGCCGCGGGGAAATGGGCAATATACATCTTTTCACAGAAGATGAACCACAAATTGCTGATAAACTTATGAAAAAACTGTGTATAACTAATCAGGGAAATGGTTATTGCTATTTTACATTTACCACATAACTTGCAAAACCAGTGGCTAAGTAGGGCATAGGAAGATCAGTTTTTAGGCACTGGTAGTTTGGTTATAAGTGGATGGAGCTACTTTTAATAACATTTAGCTACATTGAATAAATTTAAAGTCGTATTTTCTGTCACCCAGTCATGTCACTTTTAGGGATGCAGCATAAGTAATTTAGATAAAGATGTATCCCAGGATCTAGGTTCTAAAGTAGTCACGGAAGTACTGCTTGTAACAGCAAAACAAAAATTTAAAACAAGGGTGATGTTCATTACAAAGAGAATAGTAAATAGGTTCACACAATGGCATGCTGTGCTATGATGGCCGATCATTCACGTTAAACACATGGATCTGAAAATGCTGATGCTGATTTTTAAATGTCTCGGGGAAATGTGCACAGTATGATTAGATTTATATAATATCCAAAAGTAGGCAAACCCACAAGAAATATTTCTTTTTTAAAAAATTAAATGATTATATTGGAAAGCTCTTTAAATAGCGAACTGATTAACACTATTTAGGAATTTAGGGGATAAACAGGAAAATGTAGTTAGGGAGGGGCACCTAGAGAGTGTCAAAGGTTCTGTCTATTTCTTCATTCTATTCAGTGTACACCTATATTCTTTTCAATAAGAAAATATTTTATAACAAAGATTGGGCAGAGGAAGAGAAGCCATGAAATAAAACTCAGATATCGTGTCCCAGGAGTAGGAGAAGCAGGAAAACTGTTGTTGTAGAAGCAAAGAAGGAGAGAATAGTCAACACTGGCAACTGTTGCTAAGCAGTGTGGGCTAGAAAATGAAAAGAAGCTAATGGAATTGGGACCAAAGAGGTCATTGGAGGTTTTGATGAGTGCAATTTCAGTAAGAGAGCCAGGGTTGGTGCCAGAAACCAGTGGGTTGAGGAGCAGTAAGAAACACTGAGTATAGACAGCTCTTAAAATTATTTTAGCAGCAAATGCAAGGAAAGAGATAGATCATAATTTGAGCAAAAGGCAAATTTTAAGGCTATTCGGAAATATTTTGTTAGACAACATAATCTGGGCTACACCATAAAAGCATTAAAATGTTTGAAGAGAAATTTACTTATAGGAAAAAAAAATCTGTGTTATTTCAAGAAAATGTCTTCTGGAAAATCTTTCCATTAAGTCTGTTTTAGTGAAAAGATGTGATATTTCAAATAACTATTTCATCTAATTTCTAAAATTTTCCCAAAGGATGTTAGCTCAATTTCTGATCCCTCTAATAGCCTTTATAATTCTGCCTAATTATCTTTTCAATGTACTTGCTCATTTTTAATAAACATAAATTGTACCAATTTGAATCATAACATGAAAACATGTTGAGTTTGCATTTAAAAAAAATCGATGAAGCTTTCAACTTATTCTTTCCCTTTCCATAATAGACCATTTTTAGCATCACAGTTTTATGTAGACAAAAGTTTATGATTCACTGACATCATTAATTGCATAGTTATTCTTACCTGACCATACATGTGAATATTCTACTAAGAGAAGAATGTTAATTTTTAAATTACAAAACATGCCACACAACTTGAGATTTCCATTAAAAAGTTCGTGGCTGCTGTCCCTAAGTCTGGGCCAGCAGCCATTGATGTTGTCACTGACTTTGGTAGTGACAGTCTCCGCAGAACGGAGTGGCAAGGAGGTGAGAGACTGCCATTTATTTTAATAACGGGCAAATTTCCAAGCTTAATAACATGCTCAAGAAATTCTTCCATTACTGTGTTACCAAAGGAGAGTTGGAAAATGTAGTACATTTCTATCTTTTCTTCTCAGAGAGATATATATTTTTGTTCTGTTTCTATAGTAACATTGATGCAGTGACTGAAACTTTTAACTTGTTTTTAGACTCCCTGATGGCTTCACGCAGCTCCTAAACTTGACCCAGCTCTACCTGAATGACGCCTTTCTTGAATTTCTTCCAGCCAATTTTGGAAGGTAAGAATCAGAAACATAAGCTATGCAGTTTTATTCAGCTTCACTAAGTGCCTTACCAGCGCCAGCTGACGGGGCTTCCAAAGCGGCAGCTGTGGTTAAAGATAGGCCTCGTTATTGTACAGCAAGTACGACTCTGTTGGTTCAGAAATAAAGCTTATTTCTGCAAAAATGAAATAAGGTTAGGTTTTCACATAATATTGATAAACAGATTCTAGATGAGTTCGAGTTAAATATCAAAAGAAGTAAAGCCAAAATGTGATCTGAAAAAATTCAGTTGAATATTTATGTCCCTTGGATTGTAAAATGCTTTATAAGCATAGAAGCAAAAAAGAAAATTACACATCAGTAGATTTGGCCACTTGAATACTCCTAAAATAAAAATAAGAAAATAAAACATTTAAGGTAAAATAATAAATTAAGAACATACTTTCATTATATGTGAAAAATAAATTATTTATATCTTTAATATATAAAAAATTCTTATAAATGAATAGGAAGACTAAGATCTTTGGGGGAATGGCTGAATAATGTGAAAAGGCAATTTGTAGTAAAACACAGAATGGCCAGGGAATACATGAAAAATATTTATCTTCAAAAATAATAAATGTAATACAAACTAAAAGGACAATGAGAGCCTCTGTGTTCTAGGCTATTGCGAAAACTGTTTCTAGAGCAGGACAGCAGAGATAAGCTCATGTTCTACTAATCAGATGGCAAGATGCTATGACCTTTGTGGAGAAAAGCAGCCTTTAAAAGCTTTGAAAATACTGACAGACATTGCCTTTGTAATTCATTTCTAGAAATGTCTCACACCATCATCAGATATAACATAGGATTTATAGACAAGTATATTTATTATCATTGACAAAATTTAAAAAGCAGAATCACATCTGTCTAGGAGGTTGGTTAAATAGATGATTCATCCACATGGCAGTACTCTGTGGTGGTTAATAATCTTGTATCAGGAAAATATATATTTTTAATTCCTATGATAAGTTAATTCTACGAATACACTCTAACAAAATATCTAAACTGTCATATGTAAACCATATTTTCAACATGAATATGCATGAGACAAAAGAGTGGTTACTCTGAAGTGAAATACTGGGTAACTTTCATTTTTATTCATGTTTTTCCATATTTTCCGGCTGCTCTGCTCCACAATTTTATTTTCTATAACAGATGTATCTTAAAAGCTGCAACATTTTAATTTCATTTTCAACTTCATTTTTCTACACAATCATCTTTGTTCCAGTAATAGATGGAGCATAATTCAACACCTGTTGATAGAAGCTAGTATATGACATAAGAGCTCAGTGGATAAAGGGAGTTCACTGAACAAGAAAGAGCCTCCATTTACATACTGGAAGCACATTAATGTTTCCCAACTGCTCTTAGTTTTGTGGATCGTGGTACCACAGCACCTATGAACACCATATACTTGGGGAAGTTTGTAAAACTCACAGATCATTAAAAGAGCATTTTTCTGGCTTCTAAATGAATTGAAAGTTCACTGTCTATCCACATAAACTAGAACTGTCCTTCTGATACAGACCACGCTACTATGATATACTTCTGAATAATCAGATTATTAGATATTTATCACTCTAATTTTGACTCTTTGTCTTAGATTTTTGTCAGGTCCCTTTAATTCATGGATTTCCAACCTTTTGGCTTGTCTGGGTCACACTGAGTGAAGAGCAACTATATTGGGCTGCATATAAAATATATAAATATATAATGTAGTTAATGTACATATACAACAAAACTTCCTCTTTTATATTTTGACAATAAATTATTTTGTGAAATAACAAAAGCCTAAGTTTGATAATTAAATGAAAACCGTACATGAGTGCTTAGTAACAATAAATGCCTGGTTTCACAGGTGCGCACAAGTAGGTAGATTGAAGTATGATCATTGGTGATTGTGTATTTTGCTCACTACATCACGTAAGTACATATAGCACCTGATGCACACAAGTACTGATTTAACCGTGTGTGGCAGGTGCAGGTGCAGAGTTAGCACTGCACCGCACCCTGGCCTGCATGGGTCAGGCTCCAGCCCTGCACAGTGGAGTCCTGAAACACATCACTCAAAACCACATAACAATGTTAAGAGTGTGTATGCATTACTAGCTGTCCAGGACCACATGTGGCCTGTGGGCCTCAACTTAGATGCACATGTTTTAAGTAATCCTAAAGTAAAGATGAGATGTGAGCAAATAGAAAACATAATACCAATACTCAAACTACTTGGAATTAAAATTTGAGCTCTGTGTCAACTGACTCCCAAACTATGCTCTATTTTGTTATTAGAATTTAAAGTTTTTTTAACCTTCACTTGTGTATTTTAACAAAAGGATGTTTAAGAACCCTTCCAAAACCTGAGATTCTGTACTCCTAAAATCTAGTATCAATCTCAAAATATCATCATGCTAATTGAGAAGATTTGAGACATATATTTAAGAAACCTCTTTTGCTAGCAATAAACCCATGCACTGAAGAACTGATTATTTCATGTGTATGTTGAGTTATGTGATTAAAAGTAAATTAGAAACTTAATGGGAAACAGAAAAATGGCAATGGAAAAAGACCTAGATTAATACTAAAAGCATAGTAAATTCAGGAGATTATAGGTGAAATATTCAAATAGCAAAATATTCCTAAAATGTCAAGAATACAGAGAATCTAGTTAATATCTCTTCAGAAGTAGCTTCATCTGAGTACACTCTAAAGCTCTGTTTTGACATGAATAACAACAGCATATCCCAGATGGCAAACCTTAACAACTAGTTCCAAGGAGCATTCCTAATGACAAATGTCCCCCAAGCAGCGGGAGCTCTGAGTCCCTCTCATCCTCCTGCATGACTTTCTTCCACTCTAACCTTGTCACAGGACAGAGGATGCTAAGGGTTTTCAAATGCAAAGCCTTTCCAAAATGTTACAATGTATATCTTAGCGTCAAGTGAGCCAGAGCATGTTACAGCATTTTCCCACTGTGTAATTAATGAAATCAGTAATAGCTATTACTTATGAAAAATGATGCTGTGCTCGGAATGCTTCACATGCATTAGATCCCTGTGAACGTGGCACTTTTGTCATACACATATAGATAAGGAAACTGAAGTGAGAAGGGGTCAATTAATTTGCAAAGTGTCACAGACAGAATAGTCACGCAGCTCTGTTACTTACCTCTGTGCCATCCTATTAAATTTTCAACTTATAGTTCTGGATGGAAATTATTGCTATGTCTTAGTGAACACTACACCTAGTATCTACTACATGTTCAATAATATGTTGAATGCACAAAGTTAAATGTAACAGTGAATGCACTTTTATAAAACAACAGAAATTTAAAAGTCCTGAGATTCAAAGATAATCATTGACATTTCTTTATTTTTACAAAAGTGCTCTGCCATTTTCCAGAGTTGCTGTAACTCTACTTACCATCATCTGTATATTTCCTTAAAATCTGCAACCACAGGGAAAACATTTGAGCAAAGTCATCTGGATAATAACAGTTTACTTTACCACATGAATATTTTATACAGAAATAAAATTAATTTTAAAATATTCTTTTCTATAGACTTGTCAAGTTACGAATCTTGGAGTTAAGAGAAAATCACTTGAAAACTCTACCAAAGTAAGTGATTGTGTATTTTCTAAGCTTTGAATTGTGACTTTTTGGTAGGAGGAAAAAGAGCTACTTACTTTTATTTTGGCTGTTTTGCCATTTTGACTGATTTAGTCTATAATTTCTTCCTAAAGGTCGAAAAGTAAAATGTATGAGAATCATATTAAATAAGAATGTATCCTGTCTCAAAAACTGTAATAAGTAAAAGTTGGAAGAGGCTGTTTAAGATTTTTCTCATAGCTGACGATATGTGCCAAGAAATTATTCCACTAAAACTTATGAATTTGTCATTTTTATAACTGAAAAATAACAATTTTACAAAGTTCAGCTTACAAAGATGCTTAATTCTGCAAGTTAATTTATGGATTGTGATATTTTTCAGTTTTTAAATCAAGAATGTGCCAGAAACTTTTAGAAAAATCATTAAAAATTTTCCAGAGATTCTCAAGTGATTGAGTGAAAAAGACAATGTTACATTTATATCACCTTACAAACTGTTCCCTTGTACTAGACTATTTAAAATTTGGTTTGTATAAATACACAGGGTATTTGAAAGCAACAGCTAATCTCCAATATGTTATCCATTAATTTAATAAAATACCCCCTCTCACCCTGCTTTCCTTTATTCATGTCTAATGATAGAATTTTGTGTTGTACAGAAATAATTATTTTTGAATGTCAAAAATTATTTACAATTTTTTTTACTCAAATAAATCAACAGGACTTATTATATGTTATGTTTAAAATATGTACTCTTGCTCTTCCTTCAGTATTACAGAAAAATATTGAGTATAGTGATTAGTTTCCCCAAGTATTTTAACAAAACACATTTTCTGTTGAACCAAAATTTCTTATTTTATATTTTTTAAATCTTTTCTGTAGGCAAACTAGACTGAATTGCATTGTTTTTTAAATGAATATGTCAGTAAAATACCTTCAGCTACACTTTAGGTATAATATTATAGGAACCAGGCTGGGAGTTTATCCCTGACCCAGGGGGCAAACGAGGACTAAAGACAAAAGACACAAAGATAATTTGGCAGGGCGGGACCAGGGCACTCTCTGCCTCTAGTGGACAAAAGAGCACAGGGAATCTGAAAAGTCCTGTTGTTATTAGTAGAACAAACCCAGGTAGCAAACATGCAATTCAAGGAACAAAGAACTGTAGATGATTAACAAGGAACATAACAACCCCATACCTGGATATGTAATTTTCTTGGTTTAATCCCCAGCTGATGTTGTTCCAACCCGGGGATATTGTAGGTGTCAGCACCCTTACACACAAACTAGAGAGAGGGCAGCCTTCCACCCCATCTCCTCTACCCCAGAGAGGTCAAGAAGGCCTCAGTATCTCCGGCTGATCACATAGCCCAGTCTCCCACATAATATGACGAATGAAAATTTAGTAATTGCAATATAATAACATAATTATGATCCTAACTTTCAACAGTGATATGAAATCCATTTAAATACACACATAGAGAACGCATCTATGCATTCCTCAGTAAGAAGTAGTTCAAGAGAAAGCCCGGAAAGGAGCAAATGTTCCATATCTCAACACCCTGCACCTTTGAGTAATTCTTTCTCTGAGCTGAAGCATTATCCCTGGACCCAACCCAAGGCCCCTCCTAGTTTGGAGACATCCACAGACTAGGAACATATCTGAAAGTCTTGCTTATTCCAATATTAAACCCCATGCAAATGCAGTTAGTGCCACTGTTTCCATCCCGAATGCTTTCATTTTCCACATTTTAAAGTGACAACATGGCTCAGTGGAAACTAAACAAAGATAAAGGAGCAGTTGTCCTGTTTACCTAAATGTATACATTCATGTCAAGGAAAAAATATTGAGTATGTGGATGACAATCGCATTGCTCTAAAATAATGGCTTGGATTTGAAATAAAAAATAAACCTGAACTAGATTGCAGGATTTTTTCATATATATTTTAAAAATGGAATGTTAGTGTAAGTTAAAACCTGATGTAGATTGATAATATGGACTTTATAGGAAATGGCTGTGTGAATAATACAGAGCAACCAGTAGAAATTCTTGTCAGTGATGTATGAGTGAGTGCTCTGTCGGTTCTGAGACTATGGTCCACTATTAAATCAAATTAAAATAAATAGAATAATGTACATGAACTATTTTTGGAGTAGAAACATTGTAAAAATCTGTAAGAAGTGGACCCTGGGCCTCATTGTTAGACTTAGGCATATGTATATCTTGTGTAGCTGTAACAGCTTTTCCATTTTAAGAAACATTTTCAGTTATTTGCAATCTAATGTGTTCATTTTATACTTCATCATTTTATATTGAATACAGACATGAAATATATGGAGAGCTTTATTATTTCATTTTTGGTGTCTATGGAATGAGAATTACTGAAAGAAGTTCTATGTTGAATAAAATAAATTTCATTAAGTGTTATACATTTTGATCGCTGATGTAGATCTGTAACTTAGGGATATGTGCGAACTGTCTACTTCCCTTTATTTTCTACTTCCAGTGAAAATAAAGGTAAAGATGTAGTTTTAGGAAAACAAATTTGAGTTTTATAATAACTACACTGAGAAGCGATTTCCTCAGGGACACAAACAAGATGATGAATCTTTGGTGGTTTTTCAGTGATTTTCGATTCTTTTCATCTTTTGTCTGTAAGCGTATATGCCTGGCATATATGATCTGTGCAAAGTGTAAAAGAATTATGATATAACATACATTCAAATGTATTCCTGTTAATAAACTCACATTGATATTCTGATGTGTGCCGATTCCAGGATCAATTTTTTTCAGTTACAAACAGGAGTTACTATTATAAATTTTTTACAACAGTCTGTTATGATTACTCCTCTTGAACATCTGAAAAGAGCTAGATAATCAAAAGACTAGCCTTTAGCTTCCATGATAGAGTTTTTCCCCAGAACTAATTAGCCCTTAATTATGATTTTAGAAGAGCAGCCAAAAAATGTGAGGAGGATAAGAATAGATCAAATGCATGCTGGAGGTCAAGGTTCAAACCTAGCCTTGGTTTGCTCATTGGTTTATTCGTTGATGTGTTTGTTTGCTTGTGCATTCCTCTCTTCACTTGCTTCTGTAAAGAGTCTGCAATTCAGGCATCCAGAAGAGCCTAGTTTCTGGGTGGCTGTGTTGTAGCAGGTCTCACAAGGTTGTAGTGAAGCTGTGGCTGGGCTGTCCTCATAGAAAGGCCTGACTGAATGCAAGAATGTGCTTCTCATTTCATGCGAGTGGTGTTCGGCAAGTGTGATCCTCATTGGCTACAGGCAAGGCTAGCAAGACACTTTGGTTCTTTGGCACGTGGGCTTCTCTAGATGGCTGCAGTTCAGCAGCTTGCTTCCCCCAAAGCAGCAGAGAGAAAGAGAGAGAGAACTCTGACCTCAGAAGTAGCATCCCATCATACCATGATTTCTACCGCATGTTATTGGTCACAGCAGTCAGATCTGGTAGACAGTAGAGAAGGACATAAGTGTGAATACTGGGAGGCGGGGCTCTCGCAAGCCATGGTAGAGTTCCCTGGCACACAATTTCCAGTGCTCAATATAGTTTGTCTAGAAATTCAGTTGACAGTACAGTGGTAGCTCGGTTCATGAACTTAATTCTTTCTATGATTCTGGTTGCAAAGCGAATTGGATGAGAACTGAATCAAATTCCATGGTATACCAGATGCCTCTGATGCAGAAAGCAGACTCACAAATCAAATTCATGAGAAAGTTTTACCATGACACAACACTTCCTCTTTTCCAGGACTCTTCAGCTCTACTGGTGTCCCCTTGAGTAAAACGAGTTTGTTTCATGCTAGAGTCTTTATACAATGCTTCTTCCCTATAATTCCCTGATCACAAATCTTTGCACAGTAGTCTTCCTTGTGATTTATGGGTTTTTTTCGGTGAAGTGACTCATGGTGGAAAGATGAGTCTGATGTTTTGACGACTTCTTTTGTGACACTGACCATTCTGAGAATCTGGAGGGAAGAAAGCACTAACTGGAAAAGTATTGATTCTAAAATTCCAGTATATTTCCAATATATTCATGGCCTACTGTTAAGTTTCACTTAAAAGTAGATTATTTGATTGTTTCTATAAAATAAGCCACAACAAAATGCCTACAATACTATGAAAGAGCACCAAAAAAGATAACCCTCCCAATTTGGAGGGGACCAAATTTGTAACAATGGGTAACTTTAATGAAATAAGTGTTTTAGTATTCTCAGTCCTCAAGAAAAGATTTTATTGGGAATGTTTTCTTGTGGGCTGTTAATAGGATTATGTTTTTTTGTGATCTATGAATGTTTTGGACACTCCTTGGTGAAAATAGTAAGGAATAATTTGAAGCAAATAAGTTCCTAAGTAAAAGCATGAAGGATCCACAATCATTTGAAACTCTTAATCTATATGTGGTAGATATGGTAGTAAAGAGTGTGTCCTTTATATTATTTAATTCCATACATGTCCTTACTTTCTCAGTGAAAACAGATTCATAGATTCATAGGTCTTCCTTCTGTGTGAATACCTAGGAACCTGTGTACAGTACATAGGAGTACAACAGATACCAGTGCATTTTGCCCTGACTAGACATCCTTGAAACAAAAAGACACTCTGAATTTTAAATATTAATTAAAATCATAGCTACAATGAAATATTGTTAATAAGAGATATGAGATCATGAAAGTCAAAAAAGACTAGGGGACTATTCTCAACTGAAGAAGACTAAAGAGACTTTGTAACTAAAAGCAATGTGATTCTGAATTGGTTCTTTTGCTGTAAAAGTCATTATTGGGACAAATGGCAAAATTTCACTGGGGTGTGAAGATGAGGTGGTACAGAGTATCGCTGTTAACCTCCTGATTTGAGTAGTTGTATTTTGGATGACAGGAGAATGTCTTTATAGAAATCCATGCTATAGTGTTTGAGAATCATGAGTACCCAGATTGGCAAGTTATGCATTGTGACCCCTAACTCCTGAGATGTCAATTTCACTGGTGTAAGAAAC